CCTCTGAACGGCGGATGGATCCGAATAAATAGACGGCTGTAGCGAGGCGTGTATGGTTATCGGTGGTTATCTGCTAGTGGTAAACGTTAGCTCAGACGTTACTTATGCCTCTTCGACGGAAGAGAGCGAGATTTCAACAACTTACGGAGTTTGAAAGGGGGAGAATCATCAGCCTTCGTGAAGCTGGATTGTCTCATCGTACAGTAGCCGCTCGTGTGCAGCGTAACAGCAGCACAGTGATGCGTGTTTGGAAGCAGTTGACGGACGAGTGTCAGACAACTCGGAAATCCGGCAGTGGACCCCGAAATGTCACGTCAGCTCGCAATGATAGACACCTGGTCCGCATGGCGCTGACAGACCGTACGGCTCCCTCTAAGCAACTGGCAGCACAGTGGTCAATAATAGCTACAGGTGTTTCATTGTGTACTTTATCAATTCGTAGACGCCTGCTGCAGCGTGGACTGCGTGCAAGGACTCCTTTATACAGGATCCCCCTCACGCTAAACCATCGCTGCCTGCTGCTTCAATGGCCCAATCAGCATAGGGACTGGCAAGCTAATTGGCAGCGTCTTGTGTTTTCTGACGAATTCCGCTTTAATTTGTGGTACCATGATGGCCGCATTCGTGTCAGACGCTATGCCGGTGAACACCACCTTCCGGAGTGCATTATCGAACGCCACAGTGGACGAACACCCGGAGTTGTGGTCTGGGATGCCATAGCATATCATGGACGATCTGAATTGCTACGAATTTTGGGTAATCTGAGCAGCAATTGGTACATCAGTGAAGTTCTACAGCCCCAAGCTGTTCCTTTCCTTCAAGCCTTGCCAGGCGCTGTGTTTCAACAGGACAATGCCCGCCCTCATATTGCTAGGACTGTTTAATCCTTCCTTGCATCGCAGCAGGTACAGCTTCTTCCTTGGCCTGCGTATTCCCCAGATATGTCGCTGGCTGAACATGTGTGGGATTTCATTGGTCGGTGTCTCGCTCGTGATCCTCGTCCAGTTATTTCTACAGACGAGCTTTGGGTACGCATGCAAACAATATGGAATGCTCTTCCTCAGACAGACATTCCAAATTTGCTTGACTCCATGCCACATCCTGTAGCTGCACTTATTGCGGCGCGTGGTGGCTACACAAAATACTGATTTCGATCTCTTGTTATTGTTTGTTTGCTTTGAAAGTTTGATCATTCATTTGCACCACTGCCACTCAACTGTGTATTAAATTTCATTCAATTATGACGATTCCTTCTTGGTGTTGCAATTTTCACAATCATGGGCTTATATATATACATATTTGCTATCAGAAATGAATATTACCACCGAACGAATCAGCTTTTCAATAATTAAAGAAAATATGTGCCCTAATTATACACTTAAATAATAATTATTTTAATTACTTACCAGAAAAATGCTCGAAATTGTGTCGAATGTCATAAAATAAAATATCCAAGAACGTTAGAAAATATTTAAAATTTTTATACCGAGATTTCCAAATAAATCGATGCCCAAAACATATTTTAAAATCAAAATGTCAAAAGAGACTTTCATCGACTTAGCGTTTCAATTATGAACTTAAATGTGTGTCCTAATTTTACATTAAATATTTTTTTTTCTTGTTTTAATTACTTACCAGACAATTTTCAAAATTGCGTCGAATGTCATAAAATAAAATCACCAAAAACGTTGAAAAATATTTTAAATTTTTAGAACGTTACAAATTTGATTAGAAGTATAAAAAATAGGAATTTTAGCATTTTCAGTTCAAATCACTTATTGAATAGTTATTTTTTATTTTGGCAACACAAAAGGCTGATGATATAACCTTAATTAAAATTATTTTCAATTTTGTTCTAAATTATTGATTTACGATCCTTAATGTGCGTAGAGCATTTGAAACAGTGAGTACATTATTTTCTGTGACTATGATGACCATTTGTATTTTACAAAGTCTTTGTTAAAAAAATTTCAAGTGTTTATTAAATTAGTTTACTTTATTCTTTTTAAGATACACTTTTAATTTTAAAGCATACTATTCTGTCTCACTATGGTATGCATCATATAGGAATTGAAAAGAACGTGAGACGAAAGGTAGCGAACAATAAATCATCAAATGTGTAGAATCACTTGATGGACTCGTTATTTGTATGGGTGAAATAGTGATAGCCCAAATGAGCAAATCAGCTTATAAATAATTTTTTGAAAAAAGTTTATTATTCCCTAATTAACAGTCAAAGATATACAATTTTTAAAATAATTATTATTTCATTTATTTTATCCATTTACTTTCCTTTATTCATTTATTTACCTTATTTAGTATTATTACTTATTTAATATTATTATTATTACCTTATTAAATTTTACGTTACTTTATAATTATGAAGATTCAAAACAAGTTGCGACTAACCCGAGCATAAAATGTTAATTAAAGACAATAGATGGCAGCACCAAGCATCTTAGAGAAAGTACATCTGTTGAATGAATGAAATCTGTTTTTCATCAGTATTTGTTTGACATGGAGTGTAATATTTTAGCAAAAAGAAAAAGAAAAAAACCTACCTGATATGATTTTAAACAAAAACATCCATAAACAGTCAAATAAAATAGCTTAGCAACCATTGAAATATCGTTCGCAACTCGGTTATCTGATGTTCGATGAATTGAATGATAATGGAGTTATCAAAAATGAGTTTTCTTTGCCCGACAATCGTGATCGTTCTACGTTGAGTAGAATTCTAATAATTCAATAATATGGTGATAAAAGTGGGACTCCTTGGGTATGGACATTTGGGTAAGATACTTTATCTAATTAAAGATAACAAATCTTTCCTATTTTAAAAAAATAATACGCCTGTGATTGTTATAGCAAATTAATTATATTAACATGTGTATTATTAGGAATAAAAGTATTTTTTAATAACAAAAAAAAAGCTGTAAACAAAGCATAAGTTATTTTCCCCATGAAACAAAGTACCGCAATATGAACAGTCTCGAATGTTGAAACAGGGCGACTAAACATAAAGAGTTGCGATTAAAAAATTGTCGGCCGGTCACTTCTCTATCTTCTCTTTTTGCGTCGAAATAATAATAATGAAATTTATATTTTATAATATTCAGAAACTAATTTAATTTGGTACAATTGTTTTCAAATTAGAAATGAACCTTGTAATGTTCAACATATTTATTCAAAGGAAAGTTTTGCATTATTAAAATATCAACAGTTTTTTTTTTAATAAATTAAATCGTTGAAATATTGAGAAAGTTAAAATTGCAATTATTGTAAAATTAACTCTGTTGAAATTACTAAAACTAGCCGCTGGCCAGCAGTAAAATTTCGTAATTTTGCCCAAGCCACCTGCGATGACTAACTGATTCGCCAACAAGGACTCACAGTTTCGCGGTTCCACAACTATATTGTTGTTCAAATGCATGAATTCAACGATTCGTGGCATTACATTGGTACCATCTACCTTCAACAGCATTGCCATGTCTTCTCAGCATTAATATTTTAGTTCAACAGTAAAAATATGTGACCGGATGATTCACTTACGCAAACGCTTCACTTCGCGGTTACACATGGCCTTCAAGCACGAACTTATCTTTTTGCGATTTAATGGAACAAGGGATGGAATCAGGTATATTGCACCTTTAACTAATAAGGAACACTCTGTGTCATGTTGAGACTACATATATNTTACGGCCAAAGCCCGAAGTCGACCAATTCGTGATCTGGCCTGCCAGATCCCGAATTGACCAAGAACGCTGTAAATTAGCCTATCCGAAGTTCGTAATTGTTCTTGATTTCGGGACTTAGCCGGCCAGATTGAGCGTAGCTAGAGGAGTTTTGTTTTTTAAGTGCCGTTCTTACTGCATTGCTGAAGTGCGTTTGATTTGTTAGTTACCAAGGATATCAGTTATTCTAAATTACTATTGACTTGAAAGATTCTGGTGTTCTGTTAGAGCTTGAAACACTGCGAATTGTATCATATTTTGGTAGTTTTGGCCATATTTTTCTGCAAGTGTATCTTAAAATAAATAGTTGAAAATATACTTTGTTGGTATTATAAATCGATTAAATGTTCGATAAAAATTTATGTATTACATATAGAAAGTAATTGTTGTCTACTTCAGATTATTTTAGTGTAAAAATAATTTAAAATATTTTATAGAATAAAATTTGTAATTGCATATATTTTACAATTAATTCAATTACATACTTCCTATTATATATTTTTACATATTATTACATTTATTATTACTCTACACACTGTTACATATATTATTACATATTCAATTACATATTTACTAACTAACAATTACAGTTTTTCCTTCTAAGTAATTTCTAGTAATTAACAATAATGTGTAGTAATTTTACCAGTTTTGCTAATAATTTACTATAAATATATATACACACATCACTCAACTAATTGTGTCTTTATAAATTACCGTAATAATCAAATTCTCTGTAAGCCAATTTATTATGTAAACCACTAGCTACAAGAACGAGAATATTAGATATCAGTTCAGAATTGTTTTTCAACAAATCCATCCAACCTTGTTTGTTCGATACCACTGGAAAGTGGTTAACGATAAAACTAGCGGCTAAATCTTTCAATTTCGAATCACCATGACATTCGGCTAGCTGTAAGACATAGCAGACGATATTCGCAACATCATCAACAAACTCATTAGACGAAAGTTTGGACTGTAACATATCAGAACAAGATTCTTTCAGAATAGGCACATCATATTTATCACCTAGCGAATAAAGGGACATCACAGTATCAATTGTACCACCTTCTATTTCTCCAGTGTAAAGATACTTTAAAAACTTAACAAATGAGGGTGTAGGACAGTCAGTGATGGTGATAGAATTGGATGATGACTCAAGGCAATCATGTTCCATCATTGCCTTGAAAACGGAAGAGCGAGCACAAAGTATCAACTTATGAGCACGAAGAGTATCTTCGCCAATACGAATTTCCAGATCACACAAGTCCCCAGAAGTATAGAGTGATCCCATGTCTTCACTCAATTTTGTTAGGTATAGCCCGTTTTTCGGTATTATCTTTAATGCTCTGCCATTTTCTTTTGCATCTTGAACGAAAGTATTTATACTGGAAATTGAAGGCTTAATAGTTGAATCTTCATAAGAAATCTTCTTTATCCATAGGCGAAAAGCATATTCATTGCAGGTGAAAAGTATTGGATGTGATGAATGAATTTCAAATATTTTCAAAGACGCTCCAAGTTCAAGACACATATCAGGACAACTTACTTTATATTCAGAAAATTCATTGTTCATAAGGCAAGCACTAAAGGTCATTTTCGTTCCATTTCGCTCCTCATAACCGTACAAAAAGAGATAGAATGTTACGACATGGCTGAATTTATCGGGTACGATTGCCAATTGACAACCAGATATATTTCTGTATGGTAAAATTTCACTATCTGGGCTCCAATGCGACTTGATAAAATCTACTTTTTTAAAGTGCCACTTATATAAAAATTTGTTTTCGCCAAGTGTTTTACACTCAATTTCACCAATACGCTCCATACCTTTTAGTTTCTTCCAAATAGGATTTTTTATTATTTTAAACTAACAGTTCCCAACTGCGAAATATATTTCAATTGATAAAGAAGAAAGTGTAAAAGGAACCTGATAAATAAAAGATTAGATAAAAAAAAAAAATAGGCTTAAATGCAACCGAATATCAACGTGAAATCTTATGATAATTTTTACAGATATCACTTAGTTACAAGGGAGACTAGGGAAGTGTGACTCGCCCATTTTGAAATAAACTAGTGGGATGCATGCCTTATGAGGAATAATTTAAGGGGGCAACATTCGTTTCGGCCCATAAAAGGACCTATGAGAGATAAAAAATAATTCAATGTATAGAAAAATCAGTATTTTATTACTTCAAAGCGGACTATTAGTCATTGTAATTATCTCATACTCCAATTAATTTCCAATTAATTGGTTAAGTAATTAATTTGCTAATTAATTAGCTGAATAATTAATTAGCAAATTAGTTAATTGCTTATGTACTAATTAATAATTACGCGTTTTTTAATTAATTAGCAAATTATTTAATTACTTATTTATTAATTAATAATTTATAAATTATTAATTAATTAATTAATTTGCAAATACATACTCCAATTAATTTGGAAAATTTTTTGAAAAAAGAAATTGTTTAAAATTTGATGCCAATTTTTTTTTAAATTAACCTAACAGATTTTTCTGAAAAACTCCAGATATAAAAAATTTTCGAAATCAATTTCGACAATAAATATGCATTATATAGTACGTGAAAGTACCACAAAATTAATTGGAGTATGAGACAATTACAATAACTAATAGTCTGCATTGAAGTAATAAAATACCGATTTTTCTATATATTGAATTATTTTTTATCTCTCACAGGACTTTCTATGGGCC